TGTATATCTTCATTATGATTTAGCTGCAGCCCTTTAGCACTGACTTTGACTCTTCAGGAAACTGTTCTCCTAATCAAAATATATGAAAGGAGTCCTACTAGTTTATAATGTAAGATTAAAAATAACAGTTTGTAGTGACTGAACAAGAGCTGCAGCTAAATCATAATGAAGATATACATAGCATTAAGGTGAAATACGATATATGCAGTGTTATCTTCATTTTAGATCTCAAAAGGGTTTTGCGGCTCCCGGTGTTTTCTTTTGTGTGGGAAACGGGTCCAAATGGCTCTTTGAGTGTTAAAGGATGCCGACCCCTGGACTTGGAGAAAGAAAAGGGGAACTAGGATGCGATCATCTCAAGTAAGGCTGAACATTTTTTGCTATGCGGTCTACTGACTAACCATAAAGTATTTTGCAGAAGTGCATTATGTACAGACACTGAAATCAATGCAGTCTTCAAACTTTTCTTTCAATACCATTATTTAACTGAAGTTAGAAACTTGGATGAATCTGTCCTACTATTAAATATAACATATTAGGCCAGAAAATGTTCCAGATAGTCTCCTTTAAAAGCAAGAACGTTTACCTCCGCTGTGTGGGAAGGGGAAGAAATGCACAACCACCCATTTCACAACTAGCTCACAGCTTTGAGGAGGACAAGCTGCTTCTTCAGAGGGTCGCCATAAGTCAGAGGCAACTTGAGGGCATGTAACAACAATAAACCAGTTGTTAACAGAGACAAAATGAAATTCATAGGGCTGTCTGCTCCCATTCTGCCACGGACACGCTGGAAGCACAAGCAGCTGCTTTACGCTGTTCAGTGTTCTTCTGGGGATTGTCCTTCTCTGCATTCATCACCTCTTCCCTAAAGGTCTCTGCTGATCTACCCACAGAAGCATAAAGCTTTGGGGAACCCGCAAGCCTGCTGTGGGCTGGGGCAGGGGGGCGGGGGGACCTTTTCTGAGCAAATTGGCGGCCTGCAGCAGCTTCATCTTGTGTGCACCGAGTGGCACCTCAGCAGGCATGGTGGGGAATGCAAGGGGAATGCAAGGCGCATCCCTCCCATGCACCTTTTAGGAAGGAGGTGTTTCTGGGACCCTGAAGGACAGGCCCGCGTAGTGCTTGTTTACATTTATTTATTTAAAGCTTTTATAGACAGTCCCATTACTGGCGTCTTGGAATGGTTTACAACAAGCACAAATAAAATAAAAATGGCACAGCATAATTCCTGTAAAGGGCAGCTGTTTACAGTTTAGTGATAAAAGGGTAGCTGCTTTTTCCTTGGGGCTCCATTTTGCCTCCTTTGTTCATGGAGACCTTTTCTGCAGAGGGCACACGAACCAAAGAACGAAAGATTGAGTGTGAATTTTAACCTCCATCTCCCCAAGTACCTCCACAATTTCCCAGAACAGGTAATGATTTTCATTCTGATATGCAAGTGCTTCTTACATGGCCTTGAAATGTCTAACTCAGGGATGTCCAACCACAGCCTGGTGGCTGCATGCGGCCCAGAAGGGCTATGAATGTGGCCCAACATGAAATTGTAAACTTACTTAATACATGATGAGGGGTTTTTTTTGCTATTTTTTGGTAAGTCGATCGCGCAATTCTCCAGTGTGTACTTTGTAGACGACAATGTCGTGTTGCAGTGTCATCTAAAATAAATGTACCTATGCTCTCACATTTGTACACATGTGTGGCTTCAGTTTTATGGCAGTCTGTGGCTTCCAGTGTGTTATCTTCCAAGCACAGACAATAGAATTGACACCATCAGATGTCATGTGTGCTTATGGTGACTTGGCGAGTGAAACACAGCTGTTATCCATAATCTTTCAGCCTACCGTTGCAAACAATTTTATACATTTTGACACATTGGCTAAACACAGTCCTGCAGACAGCAAAAATAATGCAGCCTGGCTTTTCAATTTGATGCAAGAATTTGAAAACAGATTTCAAGATTTCTGGGAAAATAAGGACTATTTTGGTATATTTGCAACTCCCTTTTCAGCTGACATAAATATATCAGCCAATTTTCAAAAGGAATGTATAGAGCTACAATCTGACATTCCATGTAAAAAAAATTTGATCATGAACTTTTATAGGTCCTGTTGGCCCAGAGACAAATATCCCTTGCTTCACAATCATCCCGTATTCATGTCTTCACTTTTTGGAAGCGTCTACATCTGCGAGCAACTGTTTTCAAGAATGAAGCACACTAAGAGTAAAATCAGAACCAGAATATCTGATGAACACCTTGAGAACTCACTGAGAATTGCAACTACTTCCATTGAACCAAAAATTGATCCATTAGTTTCTCAAATACAAATACAAAAACAAATATCCCACTAGTTTTATGTTGTCCTCTTTGTTTTATAATAAAAAATAAAGAATCAATGAAGTTTTATTACTTAGATATGTTCATTTTCTCTGTTAGTGATCACAAACTTTAGACTTGCTTGACAATTTTAAAAGACTCTCCGAACAGGGCGCCACATAATTAGGATTATGTGAGGACTTTTTTCCTTATCTGTGGTGGCAGGTATCACGAAATTATGCACAGACTTTTTTTTTTTTTTTGGTTTATCAGCTTTTGTTAGTGTTTGTGTATTTAATGTGTGGCCCAAAGTAATTTTTTTCTTCCAGTGACGCCCAGAGAAGCCAAAATGTTGGCCACCCCTGCTCTAACTTTTGCTGCTAAGGAAATACCCTTAGAAAGAACCATCGTTTTTACTCTCTCTTGCTGCACCTGCGAGCGTCCCCTGCTCCCACCCGGAGCCTGCCCCCTTGTGAGATGGAGCGTGCTAATCTGGAAGACTGATGCATCGGGGCCCGGTTCCCACTGCTCTCCACGCGCCTCGACGGCAGCCGCCCTCCAAAACACCGCGCAGCTTCCGCAGTCCTGCTTCTTGCCCGGCACGGAGGCAGCCCTTGCAAGGCAGCGCTTGCCCTTCTGGGTGTCGCCGCCCCGACCCGAGAGAAAATCGTGGCTGCCGGCTGTGAGGAGACCTTCTGCTTTAGAACTGCCCCCTACCCATCCGTCTGCGCCAGAGAAAGCCAGCGCCTCCCAGCAACGGAGCAGCATCTGGGGCTTGTTTCCTTGGAACTGCGCCGCATTTTCTGTAGAACAAAGAAGAGCCTCCACAGGCTGGCCTGGAAGCTCTTGCCTGGCTGGTTACTTTACCTATGTAGTGCAATCCGGTTGGAGGAAGACGCTCTTAGCAGGTCGTTCTTTCTGTTCCCGACCTGAAAGGGTGGCCGTCCAAAGCAGAGGCTTCTGCCCACATAGCCCTACTCCGCTTGGCTCAGTTCCCGCTGCTTTGGGGAGGATCGCGAGGAAGGGGAGGAGAAACAAGCAGTGTTGCCCATACTGGACAGGAAAGCAAAGAGGAGCCAATGAGAAAGGCCGTGCAAAAATAGGAACAAGCTGTGCCTGGAACGGCAAACGCTCCGCTCTGTGTATGGCTTGTCCTAGGGCAGGTTAAGGGAGTTCGATTTTGGCAGAAGGGTAAATGCCACAAGCTTTAGCAAGTGCCTTAAAGACTGGATTGTGGGCTGTGCTGTAGTATCTCATTGGTTTCCTATTAATTTGCACGACACCCCTCCCACCTGCTGTGAACTGCTCGGAGTTTTGTCTGTTCAGCGTGTAAGAAATAAACACCATGAAGGCCTCCCATTTAATCTCCAGCTGCTGCGTGCTAATAACCCCTCCTCCTCTATCTGTGTTTATTGCAACTGGATATGTTCATGCAGAAGTCATTCCCACCGCGTGTGCTGGTGTGTACTGAACGCGGATCCATGCACTTCCTCTGCTGCAGCAGAAAGCAGAGAGGGGCAAATTCAGCATTCCTGTTCGGTGAGTTCACCTGTCGAAGCACCCATGAACGGGCTGTGGGACTCAGGTGTGCAGCCGTCCTCATCGGCCAGCCTGAGCACATGCTTCAAGAAGGTCCTGCACAAAGCAGCGCTCGGGGCGGGGCCTGCCAGCCCAGCGTTCCTGCCTCCTCCCACTCCCATCCCGGGGATCTGAGCTGCCAGAGGGGAAAATAGCCCGAGGGGTCCAACCATGAGCCTTTGCTGTGAAACTGTGTCAGTGGATTAGAAGGAGCGGGAAACGCAACGCCGGCACTTTAGAGGGTCCGCCAGTGTCACATACAAGGTTGACCGGCTTGGAGAATCGTCCAACAGGAGGGCTGGACAGGCGGAATTATCCAGCGGGTCCAGCCGCTGCCCCTGCGCACTGCAACACGGAGCACGCCAACAGATTGCCTTGCAGCTGCGTCTTGAACGTCTCCAGTGTGGAAAGGCGCCCAGTCTCCCTACATATTTGGTTCCATTGTCCTGCTCTAACGAGGAGCTTTCCTGATGTTTTGCCCTCCTGCAGGGCAGAAAGAAATCCTCGCCTTGACTCTGACAACCGCGCGAGTCCTCGACGAGTGGTGTCCTGTCGCCCGGTCACTCCTCTCCTCTCCTCTCCTCTCCTCTCCTCTCTCCCGGCTACAAATGCCCGCCTCC